CACTGTTTCCACTGTTTCCCCATCTATTTGCCATGAAGTGATGGGACCGGATGCCATGATCTTAGTTTTCTGAATGTTGAGCTTTAAGCCAACATTTTCACTCTCCTCTTTCACTTTTATCAAGAGGCTTTTTAGTTCCTCTTCACGTGATGGTGCTTGGTAAAAACTTACTGAATAAAAGTATAACTTCAGGTAGAATTTATTCTTCTTGAAGAGATCCTCCCAACCCCTCAAGATTCCTCAATGAAAATATTTCTTGCAAAGCTCTCTCATCTTCATCCCAAACTGATGAAACCCTATTGCCTAAGGGTTCTGGACACCTAACCTACCTTAGTCACTTGGTAAATCTGAAACTGATACGGAGAAAGATTTTCTTTTTTTGCAATTAAATGGTTACCAAACTGGATTATCTGGCCCACATAGACCTCTCTGTCCTTAGCACACTAGTGACTAACTCTCCATTAGTGTGTAGATAAGTGGGTATCTAAATTCTCTAGCCCTTTGTTTCTTCTCTGTAAAATCTGGGTAATAGTGCTGAACTCAGAACTGATTTATGAGACATCTATACAGCATTCATTATGTGCCAGGAACTGACCTAAGTGCTTTACAAACATTGGTCAAATAAATGATTAAGTGATAGAAGTACACTTCTTGCTATTAAGTACATAGCAAGGATGTGATGAATGCTGGCTCATAAATGCATACTACACCTAAGAAAAGCTGTGAGCAGAAAAAAAAGTCCAGATAGATGAATAGATGTGAGGTGCCCAGATAAAGACATTTTCAAGAGGAAATGACTGAAATCATTCTTAGAGAAAAGTTGAGGCTCCTATACTATAAAGATAGGGTTCTGTTATTTTCATTTTCTGGACCAAAAAGATGTTAAGTCCTAAAGTTGAAACTTGAAAGGAATCTTAAACTTTAACATTCATTTTGTATTTTCAAATCTTTTTATTCTCTTTGAAATATACATTCAGCCTAATCCACTGACTAATGCTAGATGAAGGGGAATACTATATGATGACCACATCTGAACAATGGCAGCGAACATTTATCAAACGATGCCTTTGTGTCAAGCACTGTGCTAGGTAATCACTGTCTGTGTACCAAGTTTTTTACTTAAGAGTATTTCATTTAATATTCACAACAGCCAACAGGACAAGTACTAGGATTGTACTTCATCTGCTCAGTGACTGAGGCTTATAGAAATTCAGTAACATGCTCAAAGGTTATACAGCTGAAAAATGAGAAAGCCAGGTCTGTATTCTATCTAGAACTCTGAATTTAGAGTTTGTGCTCTTCATCAATAGTTAATACCACCTCCTCAATGATGAAAGAAACATTAGACTTATTAATTCTGCTACAGATTTCAGCAAAGTCTTTGATGAGTCACTGTTTTTAAGTTAGCAGAAGTAAACAGAAATTTGTAAAAAGAAGCATGTTGCAGTCTTGCTTTGGAGAAATTTTATTAGGAGAATCATCAAGATGGAAGATTATCTGAGGAAACAAGCATTTTTACTTTGCTTTTTCTCTTAGTTTAAGAATAATCCTTAAAAAAAAAAAAAAAGAATAATCCTTTGGGATTCCCTGGTGGCTCAGAGGTAAAGAATCCTCCTGCAATGCAGGAGACCTGGGTTTGATCCCTGGGTTGGGAAGATCCCCTGGAGAAAGGAAGGGTTACCCACTCTAGTATATTATGGCCTGGAGAATGCCATGGACAGAGGAGCCTGGCAGGCTACAGTCCATGGAGCTGCAAAGAATCGGACACAACTGAGTGACTTTCACACTTTTGTTTTAATAGCAATCTTTAGTCTTTTGGGATATAGGATTTTCTACTCTTGATCACATTTTCACAACAATTCAACTCCCTGTTCCCCATAGCCTATAAGTAATCTAGATCTATGAGGTCTAGATCTAAAACTAGAGACCATCACTATTTTAATATCCAAAAATAGACTTTCCAACCAAGCAGTGGAAATGGAAAGTTGCTTTGGTATATTCAATGTGTTGCGGAGTTCTACCCTCAACTTACCAGAATCTCTCCTATATTAGTATGCATGTTGATAGAATAACATTATGACTGTCTTATTTTAAACTTTATAATGTATTAGAGGTCTATGGTAAGGGAATCAATTTTATAAACCTTCTTGTCTCTTTTATTTCTCTGTGCTTATCATCTTCCTGTGTTCAATGCTTTTTCAGCTTCTTTTTCCTTGACCCTCTTCTGCTCGACTTTTGTCTATTCTAACCTTCATGCCTACACCTCTCTCAGTGTGTTTGAAACACACAAGGAAATAATGTGCTTAACAGTATTATCTTGCTTCAACAGAGTATTTACCGTTTTATTTATCCTGACAGGCACATTATTTGCCTCACACCATAAAGGCACACTTACCTTCTACTCGTTTTTTGTGAAGTGGAGGTCGTCCTTTCTTATTCCTCACTGAGGAGGTTTTGCTGCTGCTACTTCCACTGTTCACGGACATTCTATCATCTTCACCGCCAGTGACTAGAGAATTTCTATAGGAGATGAGTGGAAGCCATACGTCCTCCCTCCTTTCCATCATTTGCTCCGTAAGGAATTTTTCTAGGTATGAGTGACTAGAAACAGAACAGAAGCGGTCATTTTTATGGAAGCAGTTCATTTAATTTTTTTCATAACTTGAAGCTCTCTTCTCTCTCTGAATAATCCTTAAAGAACACATTAAACTGTTCACAGTGGTTACCTTTAGAAATACAGGGATTGAGAATTTAAGATTTTGCTTCACATTATCTCTGGAATAAGCAATGTATTACTAAAGGGTATGTGTGTTTCTTCCTTTATTCCTTTTTTCTTGTTTTTAAGTACCAGTGTTCAAAAAAAACAAATCAGAAGTTTGGCTCAAAAAGGATACTGATTCTCTTTTAAAATGTTCAGACAGGGCAGGATTTCTAAAATGGTGGAGTGTGGGGAGTGACATACCCTGTCCCCAACAAAACCACGTTTTTGCTGGTAGATGTTGAGAGTGGGGGACCCTAGGGGGTCTATGGGATGGGAACTGTTTGTACCTTCCCCTCACATTTGCTATGAACCTGAGTGAGTGAGTGAGTGAAGTCGCTCAGTCGTGTCCGACTCTTTGCGACCCCATGGATTGTAGCCTGCCAGGCTCCTCCGTCCATGGGATTTTCCAGGCAAGAGTACTGGAGTGGGTTGCCATTTTCCTTCTCCAAGAATTATAATGGTGTCATGATAAAAACCACTTGACAACATGCAACTCACACAATCTTTTTGTCTTGCCGAAGAAGCTTAGATGAAAATTCACTCAGTACTTCCAGGAAAGCCAGATTAGGAGGTGGGTATTCTTGTCCTTTCTGATTTTGGTATTTAAAGGCAAATTCTATGCCATCCCAGTATTTATTTCATTTAACTTTACTTTTTTAGAGCAGTTTTAGGCTAGCAACCTAAAACTGCTCTAAAAAAGTAAAGTTAAATGAAATAAATACTTTATATCACATGTTTCCTTCTTGGTCTACAAGACTGTACATGGCCCAAGGCTGCCCTTCTCAGGAGCAATCATGGAGGAAGCTTCTAAGCTGCTGGTCTCCTGACTGACTCTGGGCAAAGTAAACAACCTGAACTGTGATAGCAGCTTTTAAAAGTCACACCCATATCCAACAGTAAAAGGTAAAAATCTAACTAGGAGGTTTAAGCACAACCTTTGAGAGGCTAATACAGGTTAAATGATAAAAAAACAAAGAACAAAGATCTGAGTAGGGACAGTAGAGTCTGCATAACGGAGAGAAACAGACCTCACAGAGTTTGCTGATGCAAGTCTCTAAACAAATAAACAACCAAGTAACCAATAACATCCATCTCTAGGGAGATGAAGCATGAACATCATGAGCAGATACATTATTATCTCATTGTATATCCTATGTGCAATACGTTATCTAAAATGATCACTTTTCAACAAAATATGAGACATGCAAAGAAATAGGGAAATGTAATCCATATATAGGAAAAAAAAAAAAGCAAGCAACAGAAAACTTGGCCCCAAACAGTGCAAAGCAATTATTATACATGTATTCAAAGAACTAAAGAAAACAATGTCTAAAGAATTAAAAGTAAGCCCCATAAGAACACTATTTCTCATTAAATAGAGAACATGAATAAGAAGATAGAAATGATAAAGAATCAAATGGAAATTCTGGAGTACAACAATGGAAATTAAAAATTCATTAAAGGTGCTCAACAGATTTGAGCTGGCAGAAGAGAAGTCAATAATCTTGATCATATATCAATAGAGATTATGTAATCTGAAGAGCAGAAAGAAAAAAAAACTGAAGAAAAATGAACAGTGCCTGAGAGAAATGTGGGATATCATTAAACACACTGACATGTAATGGGAGTACCAGAAGAAAGGTGTAGAAGCAAATCTGAAGAAATACGGTAATAACTTCAGAATTTGATGAAAAACAATCAACACATCCTCAAAGCTCAACAAATTCTAAGCAGTATAAATACAAAGAGATCCATGAGACGCATCACAATGAAAATACTGAACGCCAAAGATTAAAAAATCTAGAAAGTAGTTAGAGAATAGTAATTGATTACAAACAAGGGAACGCCAATAAATTTAAAAGCTGACTTCTCATCAGACACAGTAAAGGCCAGAAGGCAGCAGGATTACACAGTCAATATGCTGGAAGTAAAACACTATCAAACAAGAATCTTGTATCTAAGAAACTATAGTTCAAAGGTAAAGAGGAAATAAAAACACTCTCAGATGAACAAAAGTGTATACAGAATTTGTTTGTGGCTGACTTGCCTTATAAGAAATACTAAAGACAGTTCTTCAGGCTAAAAACAAATCACATTAGAAAGTAATCTGAATTTACATGAAAAAACTATGAGTGTGGAAGAGTAATTACCAGGTAGTCATAAAGAACAATATAATTTCCTACTTATCTTTTCATTGATTTTAAAAGCAACTGTATAAAACAATATGCACTACTGTGCTGTTGGGCCAATAACAGAAATGTATATTTAACAACATACACAAAAAAGTGGGTGACAGCAAAGATGTATTGGAGTAAGGAAATGACATGAGACAAAGATGGTATTTCACATCCACAACTAAGAAAGAACTGAAAAATATAATTAAGGACTGAAGAAATTAAAATGTTATAGTAGAAAATATCTGTTTAATATAAAAGGAGGCAATAAAAGAGGGAAAAATCAAAGACAGACATATAGAAAACAAAGTATCATGGCAGAGACTGTTTTAAAACAAATAACATGATCTAATAACAAATAACATAACAAATAACCTCATTTTATTGCGCTTTGCTTTACTGCATTTTGCAGATACCTCAGTTTTTACAAATTGAAAGCTTGCAGTAAGCCTGCATTGTCAGATGATGGTTAGTATTTTTAAGCAATAATGTGTTTTTAAAATGAAGGTATGGACATTGTTTATAAGACATAATGCTATCATACACTTAATATACTACAGTAGAGTGTAAATACAACTTTTCTATGCACTCACTGACAAACCAAAAAATTCATGTGACTTTATTTATCACAGTATTTATTTTCTTGTGGTGGTGAGGAACTGAACCTGTAATATCTCTGAGGTATGCCTGTATATGCTGTCTACAAGAAACATACTTTAGATTCAAAGGCAAAAAAGGTAGAAAGTGAAAGGATGGGGAAAGAAAGCTATACTATGCAAACAGTAACTAAAATAGAGCTGGGGTGGTTACACACTACTATCAGAAAAAATAGATTTTAAGACAAAAATTTTCTAGGGACAGAGAAGGCAGTGGAGTTAAGAGTCAGTCAATCCACCAGGGAGACATAACAATTATATATATAACCTAACAACAGAGTCCCAAAATATACATGAAGTAAAAACTGAGAACTGAGAACTGAAAGGAGAAATAACAATTCAATAAAAATAGTTGGAGACTTCAATACCCCACTTGTAGTAATGGACAGAACTAACAGAAAACAGAAGAGAATGTTATGAAGAAAACTATAAGCCAACTGGACTTTGATTTTATGGAAACAGGTCAAATATAAAATTAAACTATAACTAATATAAAACAAAAGAAGAAAGTGTCCCACAATGGTTAAGCTAGTGTTCACAGATCTTTGAATAAGAGAATAAGAAATCATTCCCACTTGCAAATTCTAGGGTACTGAAAGGTAAGCAAAGAAAAACCATATAAAAGTTTGAAAGAAAATTATAGTCCTTTAAACTATCAGAGCCTAAGTTATCATTGTAATTACATGATTAATTTCCTTCAAAAATTTTAACACTTAGAATTATAATGTGAGTGAAGTTGCTCAGTCGTGTCCGACTCTTTGCGACCCCATGGATTGTAGCCTGCCAGGCTCCTCTGTCCATGGGATTTTCCAGGCAAGAGTACTGGAGTGGGTTGCCATTTCCTTCTCCAAGAATTATAATGGTGTCATGATAAAAACCACTTGTCCTGCAATGTGCAACTTACACAGTCTTTTTGTCTTGCCGAAGAAGCTTAGATGAAAATTCACTCAGTACTTCCAGGAAAGCCAGATTAGGAGGTGGGTATTCTTGTCCTTTCTGATTTTGGTATTTAAAGGCAAATTCTATGCCATCTCTGAAATAAAAGAAAATATTGTCTTATTTTTCCAAATGGCTAGTATAGTTCTTCAACAGGCTAGAATTTAAAAAGACTAGTTGGGAAGGCAGCAAAATTATCACCGAAGGTAAAAATAAACTCAAATGGTAAAGTAATAATTTGCATGACAGTTGCATAATAATATTTCATTTTAGTATTTACAGTGGAAAACAATTTATGTTGTGAAGTTATATTTCAAACTTACGTTGTAAAAAATAAAAAACAGCTATGCAGCCACAAAGCTAAATTTCTGTGTAGGTTTTAGAGGTAACAGAATATCCTGGGAGAATACAGAGATTGTCAGAAAATTTGGTTTACTTAAGTTTTTGTAAGGTACTTAAGAAAATTTTTTTATTATTCGGTTTTCAATTATGAAATGAGGATGCACAGTGTTTTTAAACATGTCTCCCACAACATTTTCTCACTGACAGAGTGACAAGAATATTTTGTTAAAACTTTCCTTGAAAAGTCTAACATTTGTTACTTTAAAAAATCGGTCAAATAATAGTTGTTTTTGGTAAGTTTCAGTAAACCAGATTGTGTATAACAGTGTTTATTTAGCTCACTCACTTGTGGAGTGTGGCAACTGCTTCTCGTGTCTTGATCTGGTCTAATCCGAATGTGAGGGCAAAGCGACGTGCCAATTCTTTAATACCACTGACATGGGCAGATGTCCTATCTAGGTTGGGCCCTTGCTCTTGAACAAGTTCATTAAACAACTGGTAGAAAGAAAAAAAGAGGAAAAAGTTCATAGCTAAGAAATATTTATTTACTGTTAGAATAGGTAATACAATTTAAAAAATATTTAAAAGCCATATGGTAAAATACGTTATTTCCCTTCCTGTATTAACAGTAGCCACACTTTCCCCTTCTCCAAGTCATCTACTATTTCTCGAGCTTCTTTTCATGCTAGTTGTGTGATTACATGCAAACCAGAATCTATTTTTCTACCAAAAGGAACATATTTTGGGTTGGGGAAAATGTTTACAAAAATATACTATGTATTCTTTTTGTTGTTTTCACAGGAATGGCAATATATAAAATGCAGGGTTCAGAACTTTGTTTCTCACTCATTACATCTTAGACAAGAACATTATGTAAACGAAGATCATTAAGATATATGAAATGTTTTTTTCCCATCCAATGACAAAATACACAAAAAAGTTCTAAAACTGAGTGATGGGGTTTTATAATTACATACACGTTACATGTATTGCATCAAAATAATAGAATCAAAACTCTGGAATACTAAAGAATATAAAAGCCATCGTCATTCTGCCACCAAAGTTAGACACTTACATGTATCTGCCGCCTCTTCTATTATGAGAGAATGAACAGTCCAAGCTCTGATCTAAAGCCACTCCCTGCTTATGTACTGAATCTCACCGTCCTTTACCTACTTAATGGTTTGGTCCTGTGTACAGCTTTTTTCTGAATCATTAACTACTCCCTCTCTGTTAGATGCATGCCTCTTAAAAACAAACAATCCTAACTTCTTAATTCCATCTCCTCTGCCAATTACAGATGCATCTGTCACATTCTCTTTACACAATGATCCTGAGAAATACTGTTTATATTTGTTTTCTTTACTTCCTCACCTCCCAATCTCTCAATTCACTCTAGGCACACCATGTCATTGAAATAGCTCTTATCTTCTATTAGTTAAGTTGTCTACCTTTTTAGGTTTCTTTAGCAATAGACTGGCTTAAACTACTTACTCTGCCATGACTAGAAACAGCAGTTCTTCCAGAGATTTTCAAATTTACTCATGGGTAATTGTTTATAAATTATTAAACTTTAAACTGTTTTCAGAGATAGTTGTACACAATAGCCTTCAACTCTTAAAATTTACATTTAAAATAAATACAAAGAATATATTTCACTGTATAAAATTCAAAGAATATCAAAGTAAAATTATCTTTTCTCTTTCCCATTATATATCATTCTTCTCTCCAAAGGTAATCAATGTTAGGGTTAAAGTTTGAAAGTTTTTTAGACTAATTTAGACACATTAATATATTACACATACATAAAGTTTTAATTTTTGTTTATATGGTATTGTACTATATTTTGTCCTGAAACTTGCTGTTTTTCACTTAATATTTTGTCTTACAATTATTTTAGCTATTTCAGAATAAGTTTATATTACTAGTCCTATGTTGATGAACATTTAGACTATTTAGAATCATGCAATATTACACAGACTGTTGCAATAAAACTATCTTTCATATACACGGTTTTGTGTATACCTGAATGTATCTATGCAGATACCTAAGTAGGAAAAAACTGGTTCAAAAGGAATGTATATCTTAAACTTTGAAATATACTGCAAAATTATATTCCAAGAAGGTAGGAGCAATTGCTTTCACAAGGGACCTTTTTCTTTCCATATCTTTAACAATCATTGGTATATCTATCATTTTAATTCATGCCAGTCTATTTGGCAGTGATAAATAACTCCTTGTTTTAATTTGTATTATACTAATTATTAATGAAGTTATGTTTTTTCACATGTTTATTGCTTTTTAAGGAAAAGTTGCCTCTTCTGAAAAGTGGCTTTTTTCATTTGCTTGCTTTTGTATGGGATTTGTTTACCTTTATTACAGGTTTGTAGGATTTGCTATGTATGATTAAAAATATTTTCTCATAATCTGTCATTGGTTTTTAAATTTTGTTCAGAGTGCTGGTTGATGTATAAATCTGTTTAAGCTTATATATATAATCAAAATTTTACATTGTGGCTTCTCTCCTGGAGGACTTCCCTACTCCAGTATATAAAAATATCCTTTTATATTCTTTTAAACTTAATTTTTAACATATATAGTAGTTATTTTGTCTACATGTTAGGTAGGGCTATTTATAGCCATTTCTCCAAATACATAGTCAATGGACCCATTACCTATTAAAAAGGAGCTGATCCTTTTCCCACTGACCTTTATCAAAGGCTAAAAATATACATACATACAAACCTATAGCCACTACTATCCCTCATCTCTACTTTAATACCAGGCATTTACTAGGAATTGTCTTTAGGAAATACATGCGACATATTTTCTGATTTGGATACTACTGTTGCCCCTTCCCTTATTAAATACTTTTAAAATGTATTTTTATATTTGTTCTTTAAAAATGATCACTTTTTAAATATCCAATTTGGCATTTCATCTAGTCTAAGAGTAGATCACCTTAGGATTTCACCCATTTGAAATGTAAACTATAGGATTGTCTTCCTAAAGAAAAGGCACATAACACATCTTTGTACCAGAAAGTATCCATAGTAATGTATTAATATAATGATCTAATTTAAATGAAGTGAGATAACTAGCATATAATAATAAGCACACGCAGGTGCTCAACAATATTAATTCTACTAATTTCTTTTCCTTCAAATTTCTTACCTGCTGTAAGCTGAGAATGAGGGTCTTGGCACACTGAATTTTATCAATCTGCCTGGTTTTACTCAATGTTTCCTTAATGATGTCACCATAGTCGTTGTAATACTGTAAGGAGAGGAACACAGCTTTAAAACCGTTGACATTTCATGAGATAAAGAACAGGCTGGTGAAAAAAACGGAAAGGTGAGTCAAGACATGTTTAATTTTTCATGTTAAAAACCTAATGAGAGTTAAAAGATATTGTCTAATGTTAAAAAAAATACACATTATTTAAAAATACACATAATTTAAAATTATGAAATAAATAATAAAACTAGAAAACTGGGAAATTCAAAGAGGAGAAGTGATACATGTGAGCAAAATTACTCATTCTTTACAACATGGATTCAACAGACACCACTTGTCCAGATCAAGAAACAGAACTCTAATAGAAACATCTTGAAGAACTAAAACCTAAACAGTCAAAATTGCTTACTTCTGGGGACAGGGCCTAAACAAAGGAAGGGTAGATTACAATAACAGATTTAACTTTTCATTAAATACTTTTGTGTACCCATTTCCCCCCACAATGTCTGTATTTTACTATTATACATAATATAAAAAATAAAAACAGTGATTTCTTCAACAGTGATTGGGAAAAATTCAACTAATTTTATAATTCAATTTTTTGACACAGGATTTAAAGAGTTTTCCTTGTGAATAAATAATTAGGAGAAACTCTAAGACTATTAAATCTGGGTGTTATTTCCAAACTAAAGTCTAAAACCTATAACCTATGTAAAGAAGTGAGTATATTAGCTTGACAATTGCATTTTATCTTCAAGAAGATGGGTATATTTCCATGATGTGAGGTGCAAAAAAAAAGGGAAAGCAAAAAAAGGGGAAATATCTCAAAAGAATCATCTTTTCAGTGCAATTAAAAATTATCTCAGTGCAGATAAAAAGAAAAAGATATATGAGAACATTAAAGTAGTTCAACAGGTAGATCAACAAAAATTCAGATTTTTAATAATCACATAGAGGAAATGAGGCAAAAAGCCAAATAGACAAGGATATATAAAGAATAGTAAACAGCGATTAAAATATTCATAAGAGATTAAAGCCTATAATGAACACAGGTGTGTAAAAACTGCTAAGGATGATAAAAGTTTGGATAAAGCCTATTTCTTGAACCCAAGACAGTACTGCTGAGGGATGACAAGGAAAACCATGGTAAGCTCATATTCATCCAACCAAGTCCTGTTTAGATATTACTTTTGGAAGCCTGCCCTGGTTGCTCATTTAAGTGTCTATATATCTGTGCTTGCTTTGTAATTTATACATCTATCACCACAATAATCATGTTGAGGTTTTACATCTACTAGAAAGAGTTAAGCTTTAAGTTAGAGAAACCAAATGTCAGTTTTTGCTACTTTAATAGTTGTGTGATCTTTGAAAGTTACTTTGCCTCTCTGAGCCTTGATTTCCTTTTCTATAAATGATGATTTCCTAAATCACAGTTACTGCAGTCAACAAAGATAATATAAAAGCCTTAGAGCAGTCTCTCGAATATAAATGGCATAGAACATAGGCAGCTATTCATTATTAGCATGTTATATAATGTTTACATTTCAGGTTCTCTGTAATCTATAACTGCCTTAGTACAGAAATTATGTCTTATTTAAACCTCTGGCTACCAACACAGTACTCATCACATTGGAGCTGTCTGGCAAAATATTTACTTACTGTGTCATAACTAGAATGGAACCCAAACATGGACAAAGACACAAGTGAATCAATGGCATACACAATATTCTGAACATGGGCAAAATAAAATACTGTCTCTGACATAAAAACAAGGCAAAAATACATACACTGATAAGTATGCCTGTTAGGTTTTATCATAAAGATTTTTGAGGACTGATTTTTTTGAGTGTCCAGAAACAAAATGGGGCTTATGGGAAGAAGAACAGCCAGGAAGTCGCATACTTATCAGAATGGTGTAAAACCCTCACATCTCCTTACCTCTTGCAGGAAAAAAAATCCCAAATTTTCACAGAGCATGTAAGGTCTAACCTCATTTAATATCTTTAGATCTTACTTCTAGCTCCATTCTCACAAGCAATCTCTGTTGCTATGTCAAGTTACTTCCATTTTCCTCAAACAATTTCCATTGTCTTTGTACAAGTAGTCCAATCTGCCTGAAAGCCCTTTTACTAGTTCTTTCCTTGACTAATGAATGCTTCTCATCTCAGACTTAGTTCAAAAGGCATGTCTAATGGTTTTCATTAACCCTCATATTTCTTAAGAGTGTATCTATTTTATATATTTCCAGGAACCCCTAAACATATCTCTCTACACTGCAGAAATGCAATTGTCTAATGACTGTCTCCAGCTTTAGATCACTTTGGAGTAGGAATTTAAAAATCTTTGTTAACTTTAGTGCCTGGCAGGTAGCATGGTAGACACACATATAAACATATCTGGAGAGATGTCATAGGGAAGAGAGAGAGTTTTCTTCCGTAAGAAGGGTCCATGGCCTTAAGAAAATAAAACAGCATTCTTTCTTATAAATGTAAGGAACTCCTACTTCATGGAATTGATATAATGGTATAGAGTGATAAAAAGCTCATACAAAAGAGAAATTTTAAATATGTCAGAAAACCATCAATAATATTTAGGCAAAAGCTGTCAATTTTAGCTTGCTCACTACTCTTTCATTTTTAGTTGCAAACTTCTAAGGCACTTAGGTGGAATGAGAAAAACAAGAATATGTAGCTACTATCTTAATCAATCAATCAATAAATGTCCTTGATCCATTAAAAAAAAAGACTATGAAACTATACCTTCATGTAATGTTTAAAGATGTCTGCAGCTGCATGCATGTCAACAATATCATAGATGATAAGTTTGCTGAAGGCAGCAAGTAGATTCCTTCTCTTGTGTAAGGCCTCAATTTTATTAGCTTCATCTTCTTCATCACCCTCTAACCACAGAAAATAAATTAGTTATGAACTTTGGCCCTTTATCCAAGGGAAAACATTGTAGACAAACTGTAGAACAAATAACTAGGCTATAACTTTACAAATAGGTAAAATTTAGTTTTAGATAGGGTAAAAATTATTAGCTATGCTGATTATCTTAGGGTGCTATACTTAGTTACATATTTATTAAAAACTAGGCACTAAGGTTCTAGGAGATTATCATAGCAAAGACTAGTTAGAGCAGCAAACTATATATAGATTTTTTTCTCATACTTTTGTCATAACAATACTGTTGTCCTTTTACCTTTAAAATGCTGCCTTTTATCTGAATATTCCTTATGTGCTAATCTCTTTCTACAGAGAAGAAATTTCCAGAAAAATTTAAGACACAAGGAAAAGTTTTCCTTTAGAAACATGTATGGGGAGTAATGGAAATTACATGAAGGAGTTAGTTTTCAGTTCTTGTCTTAAACATGGCTACATTATAAGCTGAGAAAGTATATTTTGCAAACCATGTTATGTACATACACATTTTTTAAAACAAATCATTATCAAATGCTTTCAAACAAGTACTGTTTATTCCTCATTTTTTAGATTCTCAGGTTTATCCATTTCTAATCCCCCCAAAAATATCTCCACAAGTCTCCAGACGATAAAAGTTGACACAGTTGTTTCAGGTTCTGTACTGACCCTCTCATGTCTTGGCCTGCCCTTATTTAGGGACAGTGTTCTTTTTCTCTTCCTCACATGTGTATTCATAAAATAACTTATTCTCAACTTCTCTCTTCCCTTTCTATTCTCTCCTTCTCTCTTCCCTGGTCCTGCTGTGAAGCATCAATGCTTTTGGAAGTTGGAAATCTTTTTGCTTAGGACAAATAGCAGGTAAAAAATATTGTCTCCTGAGATTAACATGAACTCAAGAGATCCTTTTTTAGCAGTCTAGTATTTTCTAAAATATTCTGTTAAATAAAGAACATTCCAATAGCACCAGGTAGATCTGTGGATTTGATATGCCACAGATCTTACTTAAGAGAGCTTAAATCATCTATTTCACAAATAACCTATTTTATATAGTATTTATTTATAATTATTTATATCCAGTCTTATTTTGCTAAGTTTTCATTCTGGAGGCTCAGAACAATTTTGACTGGTGAGGTTTCATAATATTCTTTTAGCATTTAGTATCTTAGAGTCACATTTTGTTAATTTAAGTAATATATGATCACTACTCAGGAACAGAAAGGAATTCAGATGCTTTGCTTTAGAAAATTGTGAACCTGGATGCAGTTTTATTAAAAAAAATCTATCTTAAACATATATTTCAAACATGTGGGAAATGACAAATGTACACAATTAGCCATTATAGTGTAGCTTAGGATAGCAGAAGACTGGAAACTAGTCAAATATCAATCAATATGAGATGAACAATATAAATTATGCTATATTTAAATAATAAAACACTGTGTAGCTATTAGAATAAGAATAAGGACCTCTCTGTACTTAGTGATGGGGAAAGATCTCTAAGGTATTATGTTAAAGGAGAGACACTTCACTGTGTATATTATACTTGATTTCTGAATTATTTGAACGTATTAACTTTTGTTTAAAAGAGAGAAACGGCAGTATTTTTTAGGACTGAATTGGAAATTTTTTCTTCAATCTCTTGAGGTTGTTAAGAAAAGATCAATAGTGACAAGATGATAGCTGCAAATACCCATGCTCTGGTTCTCCTCATCTTGGTCAATGAAAACATGATCCATCACAAAACTGAGGAGTTCAGACTGAAGGCCAGTATCTGGATTGAACACCAAAGGCTGAAGGCCCTCCCTGCCACCTGTCATTAATTGGTGGCTAAAAATCATCAAAAGATCACAGAGTAGCATGAAAGCCTGGAATGAAAAGGAAATTCATCAGTAAAACATTGTACAATAATAACTACAAATGACAATATACTAAATTAAATGCAGTTCAGTAACAGTACCATAATAGAAATGCTAAGTATTCAAATTGCAGCTATTTAATTTTAAGTAGCTACTTAATTTTAATTTCCAAACATAATAAAATTACTTTTTCTCATTATATATTAGTCATATTTAAGACTCTTCACTTCCCCTAAATATAAACTATTTTTTTATTTGGCTGTACTAACCCAAAACAATTAAGAGATTTTTGACTTGAACTTATAAAAAATGAACTGAATTCAACTCTGGAAACACAAAATTGAATTACTATATTAATGACAGATTATAAATAAATTGTATACTGCATAAGCAAAAAATAAGCACAAATGTTAAGATAAACTGTATAATTCAATCAATTACAATGTAGTACACTAAATCTGTAAGCTACCATTTTGGATTCTTCTTTTAATAATCTACTGTAAAACAAAATTTTGAACCATAGGTTAAACTTGGATTCAAGATCATTCACATAAAAAACAGTGATGCAAAGCTTCCCAACAAATGCATTCACATAAAGAACTTTCAATATATTTTCCCACAGAGAATACATTATGGTTATATTGCCAAATTTATCCTATTTAATGGATGGTACAAAATAAACTTGTGTCATTAATTTACTGTTATGGAATAACTGAGGGTTCTTATACCCTAAAACAATCCATTCACCCCCCTCTAAAAATTGACTTATGTGGAAAACACAATTTTGGTATATATTTGGAGATGGTTGTATCGTTTACCTCCAGCAAGAATCATAGAAATTCATGCTCTAAGTACACTACCATGAAATACATAAATTTAGAAACAAGTCACCTGAAAAGAGGACAGCATGAAAGGAATCTGGGGAAATGTGTATTTTTAACCGAGGCCATACTTTTGCATGTCACCAAAGTGATGAAGCAGAAACACTGAATTTCTGGCTTAAATGTCCTGAGTTAGGTACTTTTAGATAGCACTGGTTAAGTTCAGAAGATTTAGAGAATAAACGTTTAGGAAAGATAATCTCTGTTCCCATTTTAAGTTAGATGCTGATAACTTAATAAAGAAGAGACCCGTGATACCCTATTTGTAAGATGAGATACCACAGGGTAAGTACTATTGTATTCTTTAACTAGATATAGACTCTTTCTAGTTGAACATCATAATAAAAAACAGCATGGAAAAGATATATCTTTTTTTTTTTTTTTCAAATAGAAGCTCTTCCTAATAGAACAGTTTTAGTTTACAAAATCACTTTGTGAAAATGGTATTGCCTTGGGCTTCACTTTGACCATCTTTGGTCTACACCCCTTGCCAAGGGGTGAGGAGTCTGTTGGACCAATGGGATATGCCCATTAGCACCCCAACTTTACAACTCTGTCCAGGGACAGGGATTCAGGGACTCCCTGCCCTCACAGACTGGATTCTGCTATGAGCGGCTGCATAGGCATCCTTCTGAGACACACGGCATCCCCAGTGTGTACTCCTAGGCCCCAGGATAATTAAGGAACAACTTGTTTAAGGAAGTGATGCTGATAGTTTGGATATGTGGGCTAAACTGTTCACCTGCCTATGTGAAAAGTTCTACCTGGTGTGGGAAAGAACTGAAGGTAAGATGAGAAGAAAGTGGACCCTAAGCCAGCTCCCATTCTGGTACAGAATCCTCAGGTTCTGGTATAGAATTCATAAGAATCAAGAATTCTAAATTTAAACCTGACCTCACTTGCCAAGGTACAAAGATGTATAACAAGTTTATTAGCTTACTTTATAACTTAAATATTTAGACATCTATACTCCTATCCAAGGTCCCATAACATAAACTACATGCTAAGAACTGCCGTAAAAAATTACATCTTAAAAAAATTTACATCTTCTTATGCTTCTTCAATGCATTTGAGTTATTTATATTGAGAGCTCTTAACTGACAATCTCTTACCTGTTCCTTCACTGGAGTATTAACATTAGATAGGCACTGCTGGCAAACAGCCAGAAAGGACTTCACTGTTTTCCTCAATACCAACAAATCCTCCTGTAAGACACAAATTTGCAAGCATGAATTACAGTATTCTTGAAAACTGAAGAAATAATAAATGGAAAATAGCCAAACCAGCTTATTGTTAAGTAAATTCATAAAACCAAATTTATCACTGAGAACCAAATCATAATTTCCCAGTTATCCTAATGGAAGGGGCAGCAAAACTGATAATCCCAAATACTCTGTTCAATTTCGCTTTGGAATGCTCAGTATGACTTCCTCCAACATATTTCCTTTATAAATATGGTTTACTTGGGCTGGTATTAAAACTGATAGTCATTCCTATAACAAATACTAGATGTAGTAAAATAAGGAAGTGCAGCAGCATTCTGGAAAAAAACCAACTAAGCAATAAACATGTACTGAATTTTTCCCATATTCTCAGCACTCTGCAAAATGTCAAGGTGAAGAGATAACTTTAAGATAGTGTCCATGTCCTCAAAGAGTTAATATTTTAGCAGGTAGTCAGACCAATCATAGAGTAATTAATTGTTTAATTTTTTGGTATCAACTCTAACTGTTGCAGACAGACATGGCTGAGTTGGAGGCAGCTTCATAGAAAGATGAGCTTTAATCCAAGATTGGACAGGTGAATAGGATTTAATCAGATGGCCATATTACAATATTCAATATGAAACATTGGAGAACTATAAAAGGAAACTTAAATTTATCAAGTCCCTATAAAGTGCCAGGCACTGGTAAGAGGGCTGTTGTATAATTTAATATTTATATTGATTATAAGAAGTAGTTATTACTAGCAAAGATTGAAAGCAGGACTGTCTGGTATCAGAGCTCACATTGTTTTCACTAATGAGCAAGATGCATGCAGATAACTCAGTGTTATACTGATATTTAAAATAGTAATGAAGAGTACTTAAATGAGCATAGGCTGGTATAGAAGTCACTTTTAAAAAGTATTCTATGAAACTAAGATTCTTTAAGCTTTTTTATTTTGCATAGTTGACAGTACTTATTCCTTTTTGGAATCTTCACATCCCAAATAATGATACTTCAAAAATTACATATATTTTCTTTTGCTAAAATGAGTGCAGTATTTAGAAGAAATAAGACCCTCTTGTGCAGACTAGTAAAAAGGACACTGTCTCCAGAACCTTTAATGTTCCTGTAGATTAACATCCAAAAATCAAACTTCAACATTCCTTGATCTTTAATTTCAGACTCATAAAGCATTAGGGGAAAGAGACAAGAGAATAGACAGTCACAAAAGAATATAAGGAGTTCTTACACTGGAAAGCTTAACCCAGAGTCAAAAGCAGTCACAGCATGGTTGCCAAAGAAGAGTTCTGAACAACTAAAAATCATCTACCTATAAGGAAAGGTGTTCCAGAGGGCACAGAATGTTCAAAAGCCTGGAGGTGCTTTTGAGAGACTACTGTTAATTTATTGCAGTTGGGGTGCAAATGAGAGGAGTGGTGAGAGAAAACCAAAGAGAGAGAGAGAGGACCCATTTCCATTTAAATGGAATACAATTTAAAATGCCATGTTAAATTATTTGGCTATTATCCTGTCAGCAATAAGGAGCTAATGAATAAGGATTTTTATCATGAAGTTGTTAAAAAGTTATGCTAAGGAATCATATTCTAAGGAAAAGAGAGAAAGATGTAAAATAGTAAATAAAATCTTAATAGTATTAATAATAAATACAGTCTTCTCTTGAGGGTTTATTATGTACCAAATGCTGTGTTGTAAGGGGCATGGTGAAGAGCAGGGAAGCTGGCATGCTGCAGTTCATGGAGTTGTAAAGAGTCGAACTGAGCAACTGAACAACGATGAATGGGCATAAATTTAAGTTTCATAATCACCCTATGAAATAAGTGATTAATATGCCTATATTACAGAGGAGGAAACAGGTTCAGAGCATCTATAGATTCTAAGTGATAGAGTAAGGATCCATACTTAGGGCTATCTGACTCTAAAGCATAAGCTTCTAATCATCATCCTACAGTTCATCATATATTAACAGGTGCCATAGGAATAATCTGAAAATAAAATATTGGGCCTAAAAATAAAATGTTGTCAGTAAAGATATCAACAGAGTATAGAGGAATTAAAGCAGCAGAGTTGATAGCATTTAGGAGCTAACAGGAACAGAGGATGTTGATGTGACCTAATTTCTAGGTAGTTGCCTACTAGATGGCATATGGTATAAGTCACCAAGATAGTTAATACAGGAACAAATGCTAAGGTAATAAGTTTGGCTTTAGGGATGCTGATCTGCAAACCCTGAAAGATAGCGTTAGGTAGTGACAATAGGAAAAAGGAGTCCAAAATGGTGGTGGCTAAAAGACAAGGAAGGGAAAAGCCTGTGAAAATAGAACTAACGAAGGAGTGAGGACCTCAGGTAAAACAAACAGCCCTCCTGGCCAGCCCAATTTACATAGGGCAGGCTCAGGAACAGGAGAAAAAACATAACGAGAGGAGCCAAAATCGAGCCTCGGGCTTTTCTTTCCTCGTCTTTTGGGTTGGATGTATTTTCCTTTGCTTGCCAATAAAACTGAGCTATAACACCGGTCCATCCATCATTTCAAAGTTTTGCTGCGACTGAGGAAATTACACGGGGAATGCTTAAAATTCTCCAAGCCAGGCTTCAGCAATACGTGAACTGTGAACTTCCAGATGTTCAAGCTGGTTTTTAGAAAAGGCAGAGGAACCAGAGATCAAATTGCCAACATCTGCTGGATCATCGAAAAAGCAAGAGAGTTCCAGAAATATATCTATTTCTGCTGTATTGAATATGCCAAAGCCTTTGACTGTGTGGATCACAATAAATTGTGTAAAATTCTGAAAGAGATGGGGATACCAGACCACCTGACCTGCCTCTTGAGAAGCCTGTATGCAGGTCAGGAAGCAACAGTTAGAACTGGACATGGAACAACAGACTTTTTATTTTATTTTCCTATTTCCAAATAGGAAAAGGGGTACATCAAGGCTGTATGTTATCATCCTGCTTATTTAACTTATATGCAGACTACATAATGAGAAACGCTGGGTTGAAGGAAGCAAAAGATGGAATCAAGATTGCCAGGAGAAATACCGATAACCTCAGATATGCAGATGACACCACCCTTATGGCAGAAAGTGAAGTAGAACTAAAGAGCCTCTTGATGAAAGTGAAAAAGGAGAGTGAAAAAGTTGGCTTAAAGCTCAACACTCATAAAACTAAGATCATGGCATCCAGTCCTATCACTTCATGGCAAATAGATGGGGAAATAGAGGAAACAATGGCTGACTTTATTTTTCGGGGCTCCAAAATCACTGCAGATGGTGATTGCAGGCATGAAAAGACACTTACTCTTTGAAAGGAAAGTTATGACCAACCTAGACAGCATACTAAAAAGCAGAGACATTACTTTGCCAAGAAAGGTCCGTCTAGTCAAGGCTATGGTTTCTCCAGTGGTCATGTACGGATGTGAGAGTTGGACTATAAAGAAAGCCGAGCGCAGAAGAATTGATTCTTTTGAACTGTGGTGTTGGAGAAGACTCTTGAGAGTCCCTTGGACTGCAAGGAGATCTAACCAGTCCATCCTAAAGGAGATCAGTCCTGAATATTCATTGGAAGGACTGATGCTGAAGCTGAAACTCCAATACTTTGGCCACCTGATGCGAAGAACTGACTCATTTGAAAAGACCCTGATGCTGGGAAAGATTGAGGACAGGATGGCAATCATTGAGTCGGATGGCATCACCGACTCAATGGACACGGGTTTAGGTGGGCTCTGGGAGTTGGTGTTGGACAGGGAGGCCTGGTCTGCTGTGGTTCACGGGGACACAGAATCAGACACGAATGAACTGAACTGAACTGAACTGTAACACTGGTCCGCCCACTGCTTCTAATTTTTGTTGTGGTGAGACAGAACCCAGGAAATTACACACTACCCCTACAATACCCTACTAAAGATGTGTAATAGGCAGCTGGATGAGTTCAAAGTCCACAGTAAAGAATCTGAGCAAAAAGAGATTTCGGAGTCCTCGGCATTTAGAATGAATGGAAGTAGATGAGACCATTAAAAAGAGAATATGTAAATAGGGCTGACAAAAGTACCCGAGGGAACACCAAAACTTAATAGATGGATAAGAAAGAAAAGCATATGAAGAAATCTAAGAAATAGTCTGAGAAGTAGGAACAAAATCAGAATATGGCATCCCAGAGGTAAGAAAAGGAAACATTTAAAAATGAGTAGAATTGAAACTTCATTGGTGGTCCAGTGCTTAAGAATGCACCTTGAGCACTGTACCTTAAATAAACCACTGCAGGGGATGTGGCTTTGATCCCTGGTCAGGGAGCTTGGATCCCATAGGCTGCAGGGAAACTAAGCCTTGTACCACAACTAGAGACAAGCCTGAGCACCACAACAAAAGATCCTGTGTGCTGGACTGAAGATCCCCACACTGCAGTGAAGATCCCACCTGCTGCAACTAATATCCAACACAGCTAAAAAATAAACAAATAAACAAAAATATTAAACAACAATAATGAATGGAATAGCTTAATGATGACAAATGCCACCAAGAGAAAAGAAAAGGACTTGAAAGTGTTGTAAGAATAAAGCAACAACATTCTGAGTGACCATGGGGAGAACACTTTCAAAGGGATTGTTCTTTAGTTGCTAAGTTGTGTTCAACTCTTTTGTGACTCTGTGGACTGCAGCACACCAGACTCCTCTCTCCATGGGATTTTCCAGGCAAGAATACTGAAGTGGGTTGCCATTTCCTTTTCCAGGGGATCTTCTGACCCAGGAATCAAACCCGTTTCTCCTGCATTTACCACTGAGCCACCAGGAAAGCTCTTCAAAAGAATTTTGTTGTTGTTGTTCATTTGCTAAGTGGTGTCTGACTCTTTGTGACTCCATGGACTGCAGCACGCGAGGCTTTACTGTCCTTCACTATCTCCTGGAGTTTGCTCAAATTCATGTCCATTGAGTCGGTGATGCTATCTAAGCATCATCTGTCCCCTTCTCCTCCTGCCCTCAGTC